GCTGACATATGCGTAAATAATCTCCACCTCCAGCGTTCTAGCTGGTTCTGAAGGCTCGAAAGTTGTGCTCTGCATATAATGCAAGAATCACAATAGAGAACGTGCGGTTCAAGAAACAAAAAAAAATCTGGACAGAGATTAATCACGTATCGAGTGTAATGAGTTACGCATGATGTGTGGACCACATGTTTTGCTTGTCTGACATTAACTGTACACCCTGTATAGTTGTAAATCCGGTTCTGTTGTATCAGAAGTGGAAGCACTTATCAGGTTAAGGGGGTTTAAAGCCTCCTCGACTACTTCGATGGATTTATCGATAAATTAACCGGACATCACAGGCGGTAATCGTCCTCGGGTCAGCAAGGAAGACTATTCATTCCTAACACAACCGCAATGGGAGTGTGGTTTGGTTCTTTTAAAAAAAAATATTAACTATTCCATGAAGCTGTGAGCTTCGACCAGAGCTCACGCGGTCTCCGATAGGCTCAAATGGGATCAAGAGGCGATAATCTCAACGTTTAACAGATTTTGCTGCATGTGAGCAAGGATTATTGGGAATTTTATCACAGAACATACCAACGCCAGTCCCGTCACATCCTCCACAAGTGGCGGTGACATCGTCGGTACACACGGAACTTCCCGTGAAAAGCAATGTGAAAAGCATTCAAGGGAACGAAGATGACGATCTTTCGTTTGGGCGACGAGAAATGGACATCACTATCACGAGGGCTCAAATTCGTAATGACCTTAGTCATGTGGCCTTTGCCATACCGCATTTAGATGGCTGTGCGAAGGACTGGGTGATGACATGGGAAGTCAACCACTCTGGCTACATTGCCACATGTTAAAGGTTAAAAGAGCCATGGAATCGATGTTCCTTCCACGGAGTGTGGTATTTTGACAACGGTCAAAGTTTTTGTCACGACAGCGGCACATTATACGACTATGCCAGTATGGCAAGCGAACCACTGCCAGAGGCAGGGGGACTCAGTTCTCAATTATGGCCCCCCTAAAACTGAAGTCTTCCGCCAGATCCCGACGACTCTGGAAGATGCAACTATGATTGCATTGCATGAGGACTGCTGTCAGCGTCGAGCATGTGGTCAATTGGTCGACCAGTTGGAACCAGTGACTGCTGCTTCCGGAATTCTAAAGCAAATGGATCTTAAGGCAGTGACTGTCCGTAGACAGCAATTTTGCTGTTTCGGATTTCAACAATCCGGTCACATGCGCCGTGATTGTCCACGTGAGAGACGAACCCCTCAATACGGGTCTCATCGTAATGGTTCCGAATCGCGTGGTACAAATATCGCGAGGCGTTCGGGAAACGACGGAACCAGTAGATGTAGTGCAGTCTACTGGGACAGTTATCAGCTCTTGTGAATGTGGTGGCAGAACCACTTATGATGGCTTAACCTCATAGGATCGTTGTCCTTCGTAAACGACACGAGTTGGAGTGGTCTCCTCGCGGTCACAGCGAGTGTGAAGGATTACGGTCGTCCGTTAAGAGTTTTGATTAAATCCGGTGCGTTGTGTAGCTACGCACGGAAGCAAAATGCTGCTGAAAATGCTTCAGTGCTTTCCGATAAACCAGATAGAAGCAATGACTTCATTTTAGTGAAGTTGGCCACTAGTCTTAGTGGTATCGCGAAGAAAATTATGGTTGATCTTCAAGTGAAGTTTGAAGATATCAACTCGAGGAAAGTATTCACTGTCCTCGAGATGGACAAACGGTACGACCTGATTCTAACTATATCGTAGCTTGAATAGCATGATCCATAGACCAATTGGCGATCGAAAATGATTGGGAGTAGCTTTCCTGGCGTAGGTGAAACTCTTGGAAGCAGCTTTCCTGGCGTTGGTGAATTCTTGGGAGTAATAAAGTTACTTCCACTATGCACCAGAGGAA